ATCTTCCTTTGTGAAGCAGATTCTCAGAGCTGCCATTATACATTCACAACTCTTAATTTTGCCCCTTTGCCCCAATCACCCATTGTGTCCCAGAAGGCCTTGTGATTACAAAGCAAGGCAAAAAGCCTTTGCTAGGATTCTTTGAAATCCAGAAGTAGCCCAGGGTCAGTGCCGGCTGGCCTGTAGAACAAATCCTACTGCAGCAGCGCAGGCCTCAGTGGCACTCAGACTGTGGATGGAAGAACGTGAAGGAGATTGCCTCAGCCCTTCCCGTGTTCGGCTTGACATTCGAGGGGCATCCGTTGATCCCGTTCTGTTCAGCCCTCCTTTATTTTGCTATCACTTATTTGGGGACCTATCTGTGACCTCATGGGGTAAATTCCACTTACTCTGCTTCTGCAGACCACTGAGAGGTCTGTCTGAGGTCACAAATGAATTATGCAAGGACAAATGCGAAGCCTTTGATTCCGCCTGTGGGGCCCGGTTGTTGGTCATAGAGGAAGGGCCGTGCACCTCCTGGTTTGTCACTTGCCGCGTGCAGAGCCTCCCTTTGCCGTCTTGCCACGCTTATCCCATCATGGCTCCCAGAACATGCACACAGCAGGCACCTAGCACACGCTTTCTGGCCAGCTGTGCATGTCCTTCTGCCCCTGGCACCACGTCGCGCTCTCCCACCATGCCGGTCTCTTTGGGGCCTCATGCTCCAGCCTCCCCGACCTACCTTCAGGGTTGCTCCCCCTCCGAGTGCTGTGTCCATCACATGGTCCCCACCAGGCTTGATCTTGCCTCTTTCCCAGTTCTCAGCCGCTCCATCCCTAACTCCAGCAGACCTTTTTAAGTCCCCACCCCACGCCCCATGTTCTAAACCAGATCCTCTCTGGACCGGGCTACGCACATCACGGAGCATTCACTTAGCAGAATGCTCGATGGCTGCTTGAAAGAACACCACACAATTTTATGTCCAGAAGGACAGAAATTGCACAACATTCCAGCACTTTAAAAGGACAGACATGCTGTGGTGTGCTTGAATTTCCCACAAATCCATACAAACGTCGAGTACCCCTGAGGAAAGGGCTCAGTCCTGCAGAAGGAAGGTAAACTTTCCATGGTAAACGTCACCATAGCATCCGAATCCATTGCACCTATAATGTGGCTTTTACTTTACTTCAGAAAACTAAAAGAAAACAATTAGGTCTCCCCATTGCTCCCTCATAGAACGAAGTCAGGTTCCTTCCTAGTCTGTGTTCTTATTTGTAAGCAGGGTTTTTGTTTCTGCTCATTATCTTTGTCTGACTGGTGTGTCATGAATACTGGGACCATGTCTGCCTTCTCTGCTGCTGCCGCCAGCTTTACCTAGCATGATGCCTTTCACATAGCAGCTGCTCAGTCAGTATACCTCCGATCTATGAGCTGCTGGCTGGGTGGGTGGGTGGGTAGAGAGATGGGTGATCAGACAGGACAAACAAGAAACAATATTTCTCACGGTTTGACTGAGCAGGCATTGCCTGGGCAGAGAAGTAGCTTGCACAGCTGGCCTGAGATAGCTAGGCTGGGAAGGAGTATGCAAGACAAGGAGGGAGACCTTAGGGCTCTGGCCTGGAGCTATGCAGCAGATGCTGGGATGGGAGGAAAATCTGTTTGTGCCCCAGGTCAAGCAAGGACATGAGGGCTGAGTCCCAGAGAAGGGGAAGGAGAGGTGAGGGCATCTCTAGCTGCTGAAGATGCTCAGGCCCCTTCCCCTAGTTTCCCACGACATGCTAGGTAGGTGGTGTCTCCGGGTTCTCGGGTACAGGCATGCTTTTCCCATTCTGCGGACAGGAACAAGTCAGGCACTCCAGCGGGAACTAAGCTTATTTCGATGTGGGAACCCAGGGAAAACCGGCCTGCTCTTGGAAGTCTCTTGGCCCTCCACTGTCAGAGAGGTGTCTTTGGAGGTGAGAGGCCTTACATTAGAAAAGAAAGGTTCTGGGTTTGAGAGAGCCTCAGAGGAGCTGAGTGCCGTCCCCGTTAAGGGCTTCATCTCACACAGGCTGCTTAATCCTGCTTCACCTCCACGCTCTCTTCTAGAAACCTCATTCACAGGCAGGGTTGGATGAGGAGATGAGCAGAGGGCCACAGTCACTCCCCATGGGCAATGTTATAACAGCTGCCAGGGAAATAATAGTTGTGTGGACCTAGCACGGTCCTTAGCATTTTACACTACTGCTTTTGATACCAAAGAGCCAGAAGTGGTCATGACTGACAGTGGCCTTAGTGCTACAAAAGGGATGAAAACAGTGTAACTTCTCCACGATATCAATCTGATTCCCTCTTCCCTAGAAGAGCTGTGTGTTCTGAAAGTGTCAAGTTACAGCCCATGTGTGCCAGTGTGTGTGTGTGTGTGTGTGTGTGTGCACGACCAAGCCAGAGGTCAACATCAGGTGTTCTTCTTTATCCCTCTCCATGTTTTTGAGACAAGGTCTCTCAGGGAGCCTGGAGCTCATTGATTGACTAAGCTAGGCAGCCAGTGAGCTCCAAGGACTTGCCTGTATTCACTTCCAGTGCTTAGGTTACAGTTGACATGCCCAGCTTTCTCCTGGGTGCTGGGGATTTGAACTCAGGACCTCATGCTTGCACAGTAAGCACTTTATCCACTGAACCATCTCTCCAGCTCTGAAGAAGCAAATTTCTGAAGTCTATTCTCTCTCTTTCTCCCTCCCTCCCTTCCTCTCTCCTTCCCTCTCTCCCTCCTTCCTTTTCTCCCTTTCCTTCTCTCCCTCCCTCTTTCTGTCTCTTTCTTCTAGGTTTGTTCATGGTATATGAGACAGATGGAGGGGTCAGGTTGGGGGAAGGGAAGGAGGGAAAGTGGAAACCGGTTTCCCAGGCATCCCCTGGACACATAAGCAAGCACTTGTCTGTGACTGTAAATCCAAAAACTCTAAAACTGTGAAGTTCTTTGAAGTTTGCCCAAAACCTGCTTCATGGCCACCTGTTCCACTGGGAGCCGGGAATTGGATGGCCTGCCTCTGCTTCGATAGCTCAAGCTGTCACTGCACCAGAATGGTCCAGCTTGTCTTGGCCTGGCTGTCATCGCTGGCTCTGTCCCACTCAGGCGGTTCGCCGGGTTCTACTGGGCACCAGGCTTCCAATTAGAGAGAAGTCCCACTGTGTGGCCATCCCCACCAGTGCCACTCTGAGCGGCCTTTTGCCAAGGCCTGCACTGACCTCTGATCTGTCACAGATGGGCAGGCCCCACGCTCCCTTGTGCACATTTGGAGGAGGGGAGTGGGGCCCAACAGGAAAGCCCATGGGGAGCGACAGTGAATGCCGAGCAGAAGTGCAATTCCTCAGAGCTTGAAGATGCCGGGCTGAGTTGACAGGGTCCAAATGCTGAAGTTGTGGAGGGAAAGGGGACTTGGGGAAGACCCCGTCCTGAGCCCCAACTCAGCATGGGCCATTTTCTCAGCAACTCCTGAATATTCATCTCAGGCTGGACTCCACAGCCAAGGAGAGCCAACAGCGAGCTGCTGACTGGCTTACTCTGAAACTGTCACTCTGTGGATGGCACAGGGCACAGCCAGCTTTCCTGTCCCCCTGCTGGGCTGTGCAGCCTGAGCCTGGAAGCCCCACCCCCATGCGGTACTGATCCTAGGAGAATGAGGAAAGAAATCTAAGTTTCTATTAGTGTTAGAAACAGAATCCGATGGAATACCACGTCTTGTGTTTCCAGCAGGGCAGGGAGATAGAATCCAAGCTCCGAAGAGCCCCCTTAGATACAGGGCCTACTGAATGTGGCTCAGTATTTGGGGGCTGGTGCATGTGTCTCTTTTTTTATTTCCTGTTGGTGGATTCTCGTTATTTTTCACCCTCTTCACAGTTCCGCTTCTCTGCCTGTCTCCCTCCTTGTTTTTCTTTTCTGTGCCTTCCCTCTCCTCTGCTCACTTTCATTTCCTGGGCACAGCGAGGCGGAAGTCTGAAGTTAGAGGCGGTGATAAAGACATTTCTGTACTCTGGCTTAGCTTGGCTAGCAGTCGCAATGTCTAAATAATGACTAGGCTGGAAGTGGCGGAAATCCTCTGAGCTGTTCTTGGAACGACTTTGTGCGTCTTGCCCACGGAAGCCCGCCTTCCCTCTGGGTTGTTTTCCTTCATTGTATACCCGCAGTTGCATTAAGATCCCGGGACTGCGTCCCCGCTTGCAGCCTTTCTTCCTGCCCCACCTCTTCTTTTTTTCTTCACCCTGATTGATTAAAACAAAACCCCTAGTGATCGTCATTTGGAGGAAATGTGTCTTCATCTCTCCGGACACTATTTGGCAACTTAAGCGTTGCCCTAATGAAGTGACAGGCTCATCTCTCCATTCTCCTTTGGTGACACTGTAGACCAATGAACATATCTGTAATATGTCTGGAGAGTTCAGAGACAGCAAGAGGAAGTGGGACCACTGAACTAGTGTCACAGTAGGCCTGGCCAATGGCAGCCCTGGTCTCTGACAGTGTCAGGAGCCGCATTCTGAGACTGGAGTAAATCGTCCTCCTGAGATAAAGAAGCAGCTGGGATCTGGACAGCTGCTCTCCGGAGCTAGTGCTTGTGCAGGTCTCCGTCATGAATGGGTGTCGTTTCTGCTTGTGACACCACACATTGTTCTTTGTCTGTCTGTCTGCGCCAAACCCAGTGGTCCCACTCTCATCTGCACTCATAGAAGCCATTTTCCAAGGGCTGAAAATTTCTTCTTATTCTTACACATTTCTCCATGGAGATCTACCCCAGGTGACTATGTCAGAGTCACTGATGAAAACCCCAGGTGAGCCACAGGTACCCAGGCCTGTCAGCACGCTCTCTGTCACTGCATTTTGGGATACGGCCTGTGGCTCAGAAACGCATGAAGCTCCCTGTGTGACTGTGTCTGAGTGTTTATGGCACCCACAGCATCAGGGCTGGCAGTGCTTGAGCACTCGGTGGAGGAGCAGGCGGGAGCCCGGTTCATGCCGAGGACAGCAGCGCCTCCACCTCTCCTTGCAGATATCCCCGTGATCCCAGATCTGGAAGATGTGCAGGAGGAGGACTTCGTGCTGCAGGTGGCATCCCCGCCGAGGTAGGTGAAGTTTGGTGTGGAGTTGGTGAGGAAACCCAGAACAGACACCCTCATACACTCCAGAAGCCATGTGCAGCAGGCCTTGCTGGTCTTTCCGGCAAGAGGTCCTGTTCTATTCGTCACACTCTACGAGGACATTTTGTCTGCACACAAGCTGGAACCAGTACTGCCTGCGGTTCCTTCAGCCCCTTCCCTTCAGCATCCAGGTAAACCGAGTGATGACCTACCGTGACCTGGACAATGACCTCATGAAGTACTCAGCCTTTCAGACTTTGGTGAGTGGACCTGCTTCTGCCCAGAGGGGCCCAGCTTCAGGGACCTTGATGGGGAAAGTCCTCCATTACTCCAGAGCTGAACATATTTCCTCAGCATCCCCTGGGCTGCCTAGAAATGCCAGAGGTGACATCCCTGGCCATCTCACAACACACACGGACCCTCCATAGGCCATAGACATCTGTTCAGGTTCCCAGCTGCTCTGGCCAGGCTCTTAGCACACGATGGCTACCGGATGGCCGCCCTGTTCCATCTGCCCTTGTGGACATCCTCTGTCCTCCTGGTGTTGCGTTTTCTCAGTGAGCCTGGTGTGGAGGACGCCACAGCGCCTCCTTTTCCGGTGGCCATGCCTTTCACTCCAGGCTTTGTGCTTTGTTCAAGGCTTTTCTGGGGTCTCCAGTTGGGAAGGTCCGTCATACACAAACTCCTCTCCTTACTATGTAAAAGCTGAGGCTGAAGCCTCTAGGGTCCAGCCTGGTTTTCTGTGCATTCGCAGGATGGAGAAATTGACCTGAAGCTCCTCACCAAAGTGCTGGCGCCAGAGCACGAAGTTCGAGAGGTACAATACCCGCCCCTGCCCTGTGTCTCCATGTCTTTGAGCCAGTGAGCTCCACAGCTCAGGCTGCGCCTTCCAGTGTGGGGTGGGGAGCTGGCCACTGGCTTTTCTTTGTCTTACTTAGCAGTCTTCACCTTGGCAGGATGACGTAGGCTGGGACTGGGACCACCTATACACTGAGGTGTCCTCAGAGCTCCTCACAGAGTGGGACCTGCAGCGATCGGATAAGGAGGACCCTGTGGGGCCATCCAGGCACACTTGACCCAGGAACGTCACTGGGCATGTGAAGAAATGCAAGAAGTCTAAAGCCAAGGGAACCTGCAAGCAGCGTAGAATTTTTATATAGAATGTTTTCTAATAAAATATTTATTTTCAATAGACCACATTGGAGCATTCGGTTCAATAAATGGCTTTATTCTGTGAGTATTTCTTCCATTCTGTCCAGCACCTTCAACCCATGAGTGACAGAAGGCAACCCTTTTTCTTTCTTTAATTTTTGTTTTGTGTTGTTGTTTGAGAACAGGTTTTACTACGTAGCCCAGGTTCGCCTTGAACTTCTGATCTGCCTACCTCAGTCTCCCAAGTGCTGGATTTATAGGCTGATACCATGTGTGGCAGGAAGGGGACTTTTAAACAATCAGATAAGGACTCTAAACTCTGCGTAGTTGAAGGGCACAAGGGAGGGAAGATGGCTGTTTCTTGGAGCAGGTACCACTTCTCAGGAGGCCTCAGCAGTTCCGTGGAGTGTTGCGCCTAGAGGCCGCTTACCTGAGTCCTGGGGCAGTGGCCGAGATGCCTTTCTGACCAGCATGCTTCAACTCCACTTTGCCCACAACAGATGGAGGGAGGGGTCAGGGCATCATGAGAGGACCTTAGCAGGAAGCCTGGCTGGTTGGACAACACTCCCCTTCTGCCTGAGGATCCCCAGAGCCTCCTGCTGCTTCAGATTGGGAGGTTCCCTCCTGGCACCCCTAAAAGCACTCTTCTAGCCAACCATGGCCCCTGTTCTCTCCCCTGCATTCAGGAGCCTCTGACTTTCTTGGCACTGCACTGCTGATCTGCTCTGTCCCCCAACTTCACTACCTGTTCCAGAATTTGCTAAGATGGCAGGAAGCCCCACCCACTTCCTAAACAGCCTCCCTTTTTTGTTTTTACGGGAGATGGTAGAGTCTTTCTCTGCTACCTGTGCTGGCCATTCGGGCCCAGGAAGGTTGCTGTAGCTGGCCAAGGCCCATTCTCTGGCCACTGAGTGGGGAGGCTGAGCACTGAGCCTTCCTGCTTGGAAAGCCCTTCATTAAAATTCAGAAAAACAAAGAGGTTCAACACATCAAAAACCCACTGGGGGGTTATTTTTGTGTGACTACAGTGCCCTTCCCTGGTGAGCTGCTGGGCTCCAGTTCTGCCGAGTGGATGCTTGTCAGTTAATTATAAACTCAGGGACTTAGTGGCTTTGGGGTCCTGTTGCTGTTGCCTCCTGTTTCAGAGTCACACTAGACAGGCCTTCTTTGGAATAATTCCCATGGCCACTGAGAAGTTTTCATCCAGGCTGGCTTTTCTTGAGCCTACATCCTTCTGAAACCCAAAGGACAAAGGCTGCATTCTAGTCCCTTAATTACTAGCAAACTCCATAGCGGCCTCCAGGCTCTTAACAACCTTGGAGGTCTTCGCCTGGCCCCAGCTAGTGACTAGGGCTTGGTTGCTTTCTTCTCCCTACAACAGTAGCAAGTTCCAACCCACACTGAGTGCTCAAGTGTGCTAGCTGTGGGGCTGTTGGCACGTGTAGTTCCCCAGCGTTCCGTCCCACAGCTGTCAGGGACACCGGTGAAACATGCTTTGCCCATGTGACAGATGCTGAGTAAGTGACGGCGAGCAAAAGCTTATTCCACCGAATGCATGGCACTTCAGCTTTCGAAAGTAATCAGGTGAATGGGCAGAATCTAACATTCTCTAGAACTTTCTGCAACTCCCCCTAGCCCCAGAACAGGCATCCCTTCTCATTGTGAATCATCTGAAGGCTTGTGGTATGGAACCTTCTCTGTGCCTGATCCCACGAGGCCCAGACAGACACATTGGCATTTAAATCGGGGTGGCCCATCTGGGGATGTGGCTCAGTTGGTAGAGTGTTTGCCCAGCATGTGTGAAGCCCTGGGTTCAATGCCAGCACCATGGAAACCAGGCACGGCGGCACCCACCTGCAAACTTTTCTGCTGGTGAGGAGGGGACAGGACGATTATCAGAAATTCAGGGTCATCCTCAGCTTAATACCAACCTAAAATAAGATAAATGTATGAGCAGGAGAGCCTTCATCTTTGCTGTCACATTTACTCAAAGCTCTGAAGGAGCTCACGGAAAGAGGAAGACTGGTGGTCCGAGGAGAGGACCTTCCCAGAGCCAGGAGGCTAGGATGTGCCTGGCCTCACCAAGGGTATTAGAGGATTAGGGTATGGTGGTCAAGCTAATCAGGGAAGACAGGATGTTCTGCTTCTGTGTTCCCAAGGCCTCTGGGTATCACAGGTATTCTCAGCCTCTTCTGTCTTTCAAGCACCATAGGGGGAAAAAAAATCTCTTCAATCTTTTTTTTTTTTTTTTTTCCCCTATTCATGCCTCAGCCTGTCAACGGGAACAATGGGCTCTTTCTGTCATGTGCCAGAAGTCAGGAGGTGGCTGTCAGATCCTAGGCCGACCAGGTGTGCCCGGTGTGCTGGGCAGAATGTCTTAAGAGGTTTGCATGGCAGAATGTTCCCTGGTATTTTCAGCTCTTGATGAAGAGCCTCAGTGAGAAATCTTGTGGGCAAGGCCTACAACCGGAGCGAGCTAGCTCTCTTGTCCCTGGAAGCTGATGGCTAAAGGCTGTCAGTTGTCTTCACTGATTCCCCAGGAACTTCCAAGGCTTTTCAACTCCATGTTCCAGAGACAGACTAAAGTGTGCTGCTGACAGCAATGAGACCCTTATAGATGAAGACCTCTGCCCAGCGGTTAGCGGGGCCTGTGGGAACACTGGACTGGACACCTCTGTACAAAAGCGATATTGAAAGCGTTTGATTCAGTAATTTTAGTAAATTTGAGGAGTGGGGCTGTTTCCTGGCTGCCTTGCTCTCTGTGTCCTTCACAAGATGGAAATCTTGTTACCATCCCCAGCCTTAGGCAACACACCACCACCTGCCCTGACTCCTTACATGTGCAGTTTCTAGACGTTTCCTATACGTGTGCTAGGAATGTATAGAGTTTGGAATCTTGGACAGAGAAACATTTGCCTAGTTTTCTTAGGTGGATTCCTGGGGTGAGGTTTCTGGGTCATGTATAATTGCATAACATTTACACAAACTGCTAAGCCTTCCCAGGGCATTGTGTTTGGTTTTTGTTGTTGTTGTTGTTTATGTCTTAGTGCTTTAGGGTGTCAGTCTTCTTCAATCCTTAGGGCTTTTTCCCCCCTAAGTCTTTAGGTGACTGTTGGCATCTTCAGGAGGTGTACTCTCCTTTCTTCTCTGTTTTCCTCTCACCCAGCTCATCTCTGTTTGCGGGAACATATTTTCAGACTGGAAGTGCTTTAGGTATGAGCCGGACATGTTCGCATTTCTGTCAAGCCCCACGTTCCTTCCAGAGTCAAAGGAAGCCCTGGCCTGAGATGCTAATGAGGCAGCAGAGAGAGAAATAGGCATGCTCCTCCCTAGAGCAGAACCCCTAGGCTTGCTCCAGAGAGCAGAGGAGAGAGAGGGGAATTCTGAAATGAGGCGCACTGGTTTATTTGAGCAGGGGTCAGAAAGCCCAGCCCATCAGCCAAAGCCAGCCCACCCCTTACTCTGTGAAGTTTTGCCTGAACGCAGCCATTTTCATATGCTGACATGTACTCTATGGCTGCTCTGAGGCCCAGTAAGCAGAACTCAGCTGCAACCTAGGCCACCCACCCTATGAGGCTTAAAATATTCGCTATTTAGTCCCAGGAAAAAGGTTGCCAACCCCTCCTTAGAGTTTAGCTGTTCGTTTCTATCCAGAGAATCACTGACTGCAGCAGGAATTATTTGAGTTAGACGTAAGGAAAAGACTAGCAGAATGGAGTGAATCTGGTCTCTCAGAAATACTCTGTGAAAAGGAGTTAATGCATCCATTCCAGGAAAATCAGGACATAATCTATCTGGGGATGAGAATGTAGGGGCCAGGGATTCTGGGCTCCTTTTCAGCCCTCTGATGGACCCTAATATCAAATGCCTTCAGCATTGAGCCCAAGAGAGGTGGGTTTGGGTGAGTGGAGGAGGGGGAGCCCGATGGACACAGTGTGAGGACCAAGGAGGAGGGAAAATCCAAATTTTCTTCTGGCATTGGAGAGGCAGAAAGCAAAGGTGGCTGGGGCAGACAGAGGAGGAGGCTGGTCCTCCGCGGCTGTGCTGGAGCGAATTAATTCACAGCATATGTTCCCAGCATCTGTCGCAGGGACCTGGACTGGAGGGGTTAGCAAGAGAGGACCATGCCAGGGTTGAGCATTAGCCCAGAATTCCCCGGGCTGCTGGGGCTATTGGCTTCCACAGAATGAGGGGCCAGCCAGCCCACCCAAGAACATCTGTCACAGCTACAACCCACAGGCCCGCCTTCGGGAGAAGAGACGGCCTCTGCCGCAGGCCCTCTGCAAGAAAACACCTGGCAGGGCCTGGCACTTGAGAGAGCCCCTCGAAATCCTCCAGTCCTGAGCCCGATTGCTACCAGCCCTCCCCACCAACCACAGGTCCGACTGGAGGTGGAGCACAAGGATCAGTGGGAGGGGCAAGGAAGCCCAACCCTAGGGGGCACAATAATATTGGAACTTCCTTTCAAGTGCAGTCCCAGGACTCCCGCATGCCATCTGGGCTACCCGGTGCTAACTGTCCCCTCCTCCACTCACCCAACGTATCTCCTGCCTCATCTCCCCTTAGTTGCTTGTGAGCCATGATATATCTATTTGCAACTCTGCTTGAAGGAGGAAGAAGTGGGCCTCAGGCGGTCCTGCTAGAGCAGGGTCAAGACCCCAGAACAGACAGGGTGGTGTATGTATGAGCCCAGTGACTTGGCTGCTATGGGTGGGGTTGCAGGGGACAGGGCAGAGACAGAGGATTGTGGGTACCAAAATAGAATCCGGAGTCACTGAAGAAGCTCGAAAGGAGGAACTGAATTCCTACCACAGGCATTTAGCAGAAGAGCCTGGCCTACCAGCAGGAGAAAGAAATGGCCCAGTTCTCTGCTGAGGTAGTGCACAGTAAGCTCCTGTTGGCGCTATGCGGGCGTGAAAAGGGGGTGCCATGATGTACCAGGCCTGTCAGGAGGCATGGATCCACCCCCAATGCTGCAAATGTCCCTGGCTCAAGGTCTCACCTCTGGAAGTGGGGGAAGAGATAAAGATTAGACAACCGAACACCTCAGGCCATACTGTGGCAGGATTAACAAG